CAGAGGAAAAAGATACAAAAAGAAGAAGAAGAAAAATTTCCAAAAAATCCATAAAACAAAAAATAATTCTTAAAAAAATAAAGAAAAATCAAGAAAATTTAAAGAAAATTGTTTCAGTTTAAGAAAAACCCTAAAATAATATAAAAAAAGTTACAAAAACATATAAATTTAAAGAAAATATTAAAATTTTAAGAAAAATAATCTCAAAATTAAATATTTTTGTAAAACACCTTAACAAATTCTTTATAAAACATAATTTCTTTGAAGAAATATACAAAAAAATATACAAAATCTAACAAAAGTATAAAAAAAATCTCCACTTTAGATACTTTTGTATCTAATATCTGCTGCTCCATTATTGTAAGTTTTCCTACTTCTCTATATGGTTGGCATTTCATCGCTACAAACTTATTGATTTGGATTACAATTCTGAGAAATCTAAGTAAGTTTCTATTTAAGTTTTTTTCTTTGATTAAAAAATTCTCTATTTTGTTATTCAATGAAATTATTAATAGAAAAATATCCCCAAAACACAAGAGTCTTAAAGTAGTTATTGAATTTAGGGGATACATAAATATTTTGTAGGTTTTTTTTATGACTTCCTTTTTGGAACAAAAAAAAAAAAAAAAAAAACTAAAACGTCATAATTTGTATGTATGCGTATTACAGAACAAACTAAAAAAAAGAGAGTAATATATAGAATACCTTTTCATAAAGGACCCTATAGGAAATTTGGGGAGCTATTGGAAAATAAAATATCTGTTATAAATTTTTTTTGAAATTGAAACTTTTAGCTCTTTTAGCTTTAGATCAACTTCAGATCTAGTTCACTTCATGTTGAGTTATAGTTTAGTTCCAGTTCTGTTATAGTTCAGCTCTAGTTCTAGTTTAGTTCTAGTTCAGTTCTAGTGTCGTTTTAGTTCAGTTCTAGTTCACTACTAGTTCAGTTCTAGTTAAGTTCTAGTTCAGTTCTAGTTCAGTTCTAGTTCAGTTCTGGTTCAGTTCTAGTTCAGTTCTAGTTAAGTTCTAGTTCAGTTCTAGTTCAATTCTAGTTCAGTTCTAGTTCAGTTCTAGTTCAGTTCTAGTTCAGTTCTAGTTCAGTTCTAGTTCAGTTCTAGTTCAGTTCTAGTTCAGTTCTAGTTCAGTTCTAGTTCAGTTCTAGTTCAGTTCTAGTTCAGTTCTAGTTCAGTTCTAGTTCAGTTCTAGTTCAGTTCTAGTTCAGTTCTAGTTCAGTTCTAGTTCAGTTCTAGTTCAGTTCTAGTTCAGTTCTAGTTCAGTTATGGTTCAGTTTTGGTAAAATTCTAGTTCAGTTTTAGTTCAGTTCTGGTTACATTCTAGTTAAGTTCTAATTCAGTTCTAGTTCAGCTCTATTTCAGTTTTGGTTCAGTTCTAGTTCAGTTCTGGTTCAGTTTTAGTTCAGTTCTAGTTCAGTTCTAGTTAAGATCTAGTTCAGTTCTAGTTCAGTTCTAGTTCAGTTCTAGTTCAGTTCTAGTTCAGTTCTAGTTCAGTTCTAGTTCAGTTCTAGTTCAGTTCTAGTTCAGTTCTAGTTCAGTTCTAGTTCAGTTCTAGTTCAGTTCTAGTTAAGTTCTAGTTCAGTTCTAGTTCAGTTCTAGTTCAGTTCTAGTTCAGTTCCGGTTCAGTTCTAGTTCAGCTCTAGTTCAGTTCTAGTTCAGTTCTACTTCAGTTCTACTTCAGTTCTAGTTCAGTTCTTGTTCAGTTCTAGTTTAGTACTAGTTCAATTCTAGTTTAGTTCTGGTACAGTTCTAGTTCTGTTCTTGTTCAGTTCTAGTTCAATTCTTGTTTATTTCTATATCAGTTCTGGTTCAGTTCTAGTTCTAATTCAGTATTGGTTCAGCTCTGGTTCAGTTCTAGTTCAGTTCTAGTTTAATTCTAGTTTAGTTCTAGTTCAGCTCTAGTTCAATTCTAGTTTAGTTCTGTATCAGTTCTGTATCAGTTCTGGTTCAATTCTAGTTAGTTCTAGTTCATTTCTAGTTAGTTCTAGTACAGTTCTAATTCAGTTCTAGTTCAGTTCTAATTCAGTTCTAATTCAGTTCTAATTCAGTTCTAGTTCAATTCTAGTTCAGTTCTAGTTCTGTTCTAGTTCAGTTCTAGTTCAATTCTAGTTCAGTTCTAGTTCAGTTCAGTTCTGGTTCAGTTCTAGTTCAGTTCTAGTTCAGTTCTAGTTCAGTTCTAGTTTAGTTCTAGCTCAGTTCTAGTTCAGTTCTAGTTCAGTTCTAGTTCAGTTCTAGTTCAATTCTAGTTCAGTTCTAGTTCAGTTCTTGTTCAGTTCTAGTTCAGTTCTAGTTCAGTTCTAGTTCAGTTCTAGTTCAGTTCTAATTCAGTTCTAATTCAGTTCTAGTTCAGTTCTAGTTCAATTCTAGTTCAGTTCTAGTTCATTCTAGTTCAGTCTAGTTCAGTTCTAGTTCAGTTCTAGTTCAGTTCTAGTTCAGTTCTAGTTCAGTTCTAGTTCAGTTCTAGTTCAGTTCTAGTTCAGTTCTAGTTCAGTTCTAGTTCAGTTCTAGTTCAGTTCTAGTTCAGTTCTAGTTCAGTTCTAGTTCAGTTCTAGTTTCAGTTCCTAGTTCAGTTCTAGTTTGCTCTAGTTCAATTCTAGTTTAGTTCTATATCAGTTCTGGGTTAGTTCTAGTTCAGTTCTTGTTCAGTTCCAGATCAGTTCTGGTTCAGTTCTAGTTGAGTTCTAGTTCAGTTCTAGTTCAGTTCTAGTTCAGTTCTAGTTCAGTTCTAGTTCAGTTCTAGTTCAGTTCTAGTTCAGTTCTAGTTCAGTTCTAGTTCAGTCTAGTTCAGTTCTAGTTCAGTTCTAGTTCAGTTCTAGTTCAGTTCAGTTCTAGTTCAGTTCTAGTCCGTTCTAGTTCAGTTCTAGTTCATTTCTAGTTCAGTTCTAGTTCAGTTCTAGTTCAGTTCTAGTTCAGTTCTAGTTCAGTTCTAGTTCAGTTCTAGTTCAGTTCTAGTTCAGTTCTAGTTCAGTTCTAGTTCAGTTCTAGTTCAGTTCTAGTTCAGTCTAGTTCTAGTTCAGTTCTAGTTCAGTTCTAGTTTTGCTCTAGTTCAATTCTAGTTTAGTTCTATATCAGTCCTGGGTTAGTTCTAGTTCAAATTCAGCTCTTTTTCAGTTTTAATTGAGTTCGAGTTCAGTACTTGAAGGCATTATGTGCCTTTTATATATGTATGTAAGAAAACCTTTGGGAAAAGATGGGGTCTTAAACTATACATAGTGCACTGGATGTACACCGCGGTCATAAGGCCTATTTTAACCTACGGAACTCTTGTTTGGTGGAGAGCGGTGGATACCAAGACTTACCTCTCTAATCTAAATAAAGTATAGGGATTAGCATGTCTTGCGATCACTGACTGTTTGAGTTCCACCCCTCAGGCTTGTCTAGAGGCGATGCTAAATATAATTCCCCTTGATATTTATATCAAATGTATTTCTGATAAATCTGCTCTACGACTTAAACAGTCGAATCTGCTCTACGGCTTAAACAGACTGAAGTATGATCGGATTGGTCATGTCACCATCCTACAAAAGATAAGCAGGCCAGGACACAGACTACACACTATCTACACTGAATTTGAATAGGTAATTCAAGACCAGAATACCGATAAAGGATGATTGGGCCACGAACACTGTCCTAAGGGACGACGTGATCTCATTCTATACTGATGGCTCAAAAATAGATCTTCTATTGTCTCTTGGACTACCTAACACCTGTACGGTTCTTCAGACAGAGATACATATATACCATCGATATAGCCGTGAGAAGAACCCGGGAACTAAATCTCGAAAATTCGACCATACAAAATAAAAATTTGGACAGCCTTGCATCAATCAATCTCAACTCCAATGTTATTAAGTGCCAATTGTATTTAATCATTGGCACAACTGACGCAATATCACGTTGAGCTGATATGGGTTCCAGGACATGAGGGCATTCGGGGAAATAAAAATAAATATATCAACCAAAGGATCGTCCCTAGACTTAACCGTTACGCAAAGTGATACTCACACTCCCCTGGTGACCCTATCAAAGTTGTTAGATGACTGTGCTTTGAGTGAGATGGAACCCAGATGGTCAAATATCACCACTAGTAAAATATCGAGACTGCTCTGGCCCACTCCGACAACGGATAGGACTAGGACTCTCTTGTCTCTTAGTAAGAACTCAATTAGGCTTCTAACTGGTATACATAACTACTGGGCACTGTATGTTTGGACATATGTCGGAACGTATGGGCTAACTTCATTATAGCTACTGTAGAAGCTGTTTGGACAAAGAGCAAGTGGAATCGGTACAACACCTTCTATGTGACTGCCCAGCCTTACAGGAGCACAGACTACTCTATCTCCAGATCCAGATCTTTTCATGATCTAAACTGTCTCAGAGATGCGTCATTAGTAAACATGATCGGTTTTAAGAAGACCGTAAGAACCAAATAATCAAAGAGATTAGGGAGGGAAACCAATCTCTCAACATAAGGGAATGGCAATTCTAAGGGTATCACAACCCACGTAACATAACCTAACCTCTGCTCTAGTTCAGCAGTTATATTTCCTATACGGTGCTAAAAATAGATTTTCTCACATTTCTGCATGTTTGTACGTATGTATTTATGTAAGTCTGCGTGTTAACGGGAAGTATTTAACTTTGGCTGCAAAACCATAAAAAAAACTTTTTCACCACACTTTTCACCTCCATAATCTATACAACACAGGTCAAAGACTAAAGAACAACACAAACATTTCTATATATAATATTTTTTTTGCTTCTTTTTAATGCTGGTATGTTGGAAAAACCATATGACGCCAGTTATCCTTCTTAAGTTTAATACCCACATAAGCTTACAAATACGTAGACTTATAGAGAAGAACATATTTGTAGGTATAATATTTACAACACTGTATCCTTAAAAGAGGGCAGATAGAAAAATATGTAAAAACTTATTGACTTTTTTTGTGGGATAAAACCAAAACTTGGAAAATTAAAGTAATAATAAAATGTTTATTTTAAAGTTGTAATAAATAAAATAAATGTTTAAAGTTTAAACTTTAAACTATAACATACAATTTAAAGTTCCATTAAGCGTTTGTCTGCTGCCGGTTCTGCAGAGGCCCATTCTGGAAATTCACGATTGGGATAGACAATATAGTGCATAGTTTGAACATTGACTAAAAGCATAATCATGGTAAAAATACTGGGTAAAATACCGGCACTGGCCCTAAGGATAAGGGGGAGAGGAGGAGAATTGATTAGAGAAAGTTGATTAGATAACATAAGATGATAGATAGATAAGGATAGATAGATAGCTAGAGTAGATAGAATAGAGATAGATAGATAGATAGCAGGATAGATAGATAGAGAGATAGATAGATAGGCTAGATAGATAGATAGATAGATAGATAGATAGATAATAGAATGATAGATAGATAGATTAGATAGATAGATAGATAGATAGATAGATAGATAGATAGATAAATAGATAGATAGATAGATAGATAGATAGATAGATAGATAGATAGATAGATAGATAGATAGATAGATAGATAGATAGATAGGTAGATAGATAGATAGATAGATAGATAGATAGATAGATAGATAAATAGATAGATAGATAGATAGATAGATAGATAGATAGATAGATAGATAGATAGATAGATAGATAGATAGATGATAGAGAGATAGATAGATAGATAGATAGATAGATAGATAGATAGATAGAAGATAGATAGATAGATAGATAGATAGATAGATAGATAGATAGATAGATAGATAGATAGACAGATAGATAGATAGATAGATAGACAGATAGATAGATAGATAGATAGATAGATAGATAGATAGATAGATAGATAGATAGATAGATAGATAGATAGATAGATAGATAGATAGATAGATAGATAGATAGATAGATAGATAGATAGATAGATAGATAGATAGATAGATAGATAGATAGTAGATAGATAGATAGATAGATAGATAGATAGATAGATAGATAGATAGATAGATAGATAGATAGATAGATAGATAGATAGATAGATAGATAGATAGATAGATAGATAGATAGATAGATAGATAGATAGATAGATAGATAGATAGATAGATAGATAGATAGATAGATAGATAGATAGATAGATAGATAGATAGATAGATAGATAGATAGATAGATAGATAGATAGATAGATAGATAGATAGATAGATAGATAGATAGATAGATAGATAGATAGATAGATAGATAGATAAATAGATAAATAGAAAATAGATAGATAGATAGATAGATAGATAGATAGATAGATAGATAGATAGATAGATAGATAGATAGATAGATAGATAGATAGATAGATAGATAGATAGATAGATAGATAGATAGATAGATAGATAGATAGATAGATAGATAGATAGATAGATAGATAGATAGATAGATAGATAGATAGAAAAGGTACAAAGATAGTTACTAATAGGAACAGATCTTATTAATCGGGAGTTATATAATATTAATATGGATATCTGAGTCCTTCAAAGGTTGTCAATTATAGGCCGATTTGAACAGAAAATTAATAGAACTGAGACTGGAATAAAGATCGGCTGTCATGGCCGACTATCAGTTGTAAAAAATTGGACACAGTTATTAAACATGGTCCGAACATAGGAAATCTAGGAAATTATTCTGAGTTGTTACACTTTAACATCAACACTACTGCGTTGGAAGAAATTTACGATAAGACCCACGATGTGAGAGTGGAAGATTGTTTCAAACAAAGATTTAACGAAGAGCTACGAATGTTTTATCCGAATTCGAATAAAGACAAAATAGTCTTAATTAGTAGCCCCTTAAACAGATGTGTACTTACCATATATTTCGATTTAATGCCCGCATAACCGGCTATAATAGCATTTGCTGGTGTACCCACTGGCAGATGGAAAGCCATGCTGCAAGCAATACCCGCTGGAAATACCAACATTATGGGATTCATTTTAATGGCCACAGCCTAGAAAGAAACAAAACTGAAGTGGAAATTCCTTAATTTTACAATTGTCCGCCAATAAATACCAATTCCTGTAAAATGGGCACTAGAATATTACAAATCGGTACATTAGCACTGAAATTTGTAAGGACCGTGGCAAAGATTATAGCGGCCATTTGCACTGCCAAGGCGGGGTAATTTAATAGAAAGGTCATAGCTTGACCTAAAAGTTTAGCCATGCCACTGCTTTGACTGCCCTCGGCCAGGGCGAAACCACCGCCTAGAAGAGATAATAAATGCATTTTAAAGTTTCTTTTTAGTGTCGAATTATGGGGAAGTATGTATCATTTACCCAACAGAAACACCAATCCCCAGGGTGTGTTAGCGTTAACAAATTCCCAGGCTAAGAGAGCCTTTTCACGGACCGTTGGATAGGGACCTAAAAGCGAACTGTATGCAAAACCATATCTAAATGTTTTGGAAACTCTTGAACTTACCTTCCGATTTACAGTGGCTACAACAGAAACAAGTCATGGGAAACATAAACAAAGCCAAGACCACAAACATAACCGGACAGGAAGATCTTATGGATCTAAAATTTTATAATTATTATTAAGTCTTTAATTTCTTTTGTCGCAAACTTACACGGCATTAAAAAAATCTCCCCAACCGGGCATAAAACCAGGAGCCCGGGTAAACAGTAAAACAACCATGCAAACAAACCACCATAAAACCTGCCATTCATGCACCGACATGGGTCCCAATTCAGCATATTTTTCCACAACAACAGCCTTAACCGTATCCTTAGCCAAGGTACCTTTTGCCACTTCTTCACCCTCTTTGCTATGGGGACGAAACAAACCAAAGTGTGTAATTTGCAGGCAAATGTACAGCAACAAAGTATCAACCACAACCATGGGCATAGACCAAGCCATAAATTTGGGAAAATCTATTTTATCTGTGGCATCGGGAAAGCGACTAAAAACAAGAAGAAATATCTCAAGAACTTTAAGTTTATTTGAAATATTAACTGCAATAAATACTTTTCATATATTCCCTTTAAGGTCAAATTAGTGCCGGTACCTATAAGAGTACCACAGCCACCTATAGTCGAAGCATAGGCTACACCAAAATAGAAACCCATGGCAATTTTAGAGGGATGTTTTTTACCATCTACTGCTGGTTCAACCGTCTCATCCATGTAAACATCTATAACATTGTTCTGGAATAAAAACTTTTTTTATTCAAATTATGGGACTCTAAAGAGGGACCATCAAAAACTTTGAAAGAGCTGTTTAAAATTCTTAAATTTAAACAGAATCCGAACTCAGCTAATATAATTCTTATTAAGTTTATTCGAGTTTTTACCAACCGTTTCCAATTCCTCCATTACCGCCTTAATTATCGGACACATCATGGCTGTTGAGGCCGCATTTGAAATCCATAATGATATAAAACTTGTTACACATATTAGGCCAAAATGCAAGCTATAGTTTTAGCAAATAATAACGGAAATATTTTAAGTTTTTAATCTTTATTATGAAATTATTGTCCAATATTTACCGTCTTGGACTGCAGCCCACTATTAGAATAGTTCTTAAGGCCAATCTCTTGTGTAGATTACAATATTCCACTGCCAAGGCAACAATTAAACCACCCAAAAACATGACCAAGGTATCTTTAAAATATTGCATACAGGTAGTCTCAGAGTCCTTGAAGAGGGAAATTGTAAATAATAACAGATTTGTCTAAATTTTCGGATACAGAGATCTTAAAAGTCTAGACAAAAGAATAATCCATAGCCTCGGATAATGTTTTGACTATTGAATAGTCCATAGTCTGGACTATAGAATAGTCCATAGTCTGGACTATAGAATAGTCCATAGTCTGGACTATAGAATAGTCCATAGTCTGGACTATAGAATAGTCCATAGTCTGGACTATAGAATAGTCCATAGTCTGGACTATAGAATATTCTATAGTCTGGACTATAGAATAGTCTATAGTCCAAACTATAGAATAGTCTATAGTCCAAACTATAGAATAGTCTATAACATGGACTATTGAATTGTCTATAGTCTGGACTATAGAATAGTCTATAATCTGGACTTTAGAATAGTCTATAGTCTGGACTGTAGAGTAGTCTATAGTCTGGACTGTAGAGTAGTCTATAGTCTGGACTATAGAGTAGTCTATAGTCTGGACTATAGATAAGTCTACAGTCCGGACTATAGATAAGTCTACAGTCCGGACTTTAGTATATAATCTAGACTATAGAATAGTCTATAGTCTGGATTATAAAATAGTTTATAGTCTGGACTATAGAATAGTCTATTGTTTGGACTACAGAATAGTCTGGACTATAGAATAGTCTATTGTTTGGACTACAGAATAGTCTATAGTCTGGACTATAGAATAGCCTGTAGTCTGGACTATAGAATAGTCTATAGTCTGGACTATAGAATAGTCTATAGTCTGGACTATAGAATAGTCTATAGTCTGGACTATAGAATAGTCTATAGTCTGGACTATAGAATAGTCTATATACTGGATATGAAATAGTCCATATTCTCGACTAGTCTGGTCTATAGAATAGTCTATAGTCTGGACTGTAGAGTAGTCTATAGTCTGGACTATAGAGTAGTCTATAGTCTGGACTATAGAGTAGTCTATAGTCTGGACTATAGATAAGTCTACAGTCCGGACTTTAGTATACAATCTGGACTATAGAATAGTCTATAGTCTGGATTATAGAATAGTCTATAGTCTGGATTATAGAATAGTCTATTGTTTGGACTACAGAATAGTCTATAGTCTGGACTATAGAATAGTCTATTGTTTGGACTATAGAATAGTCTATTGTTTGGACTATAGAATAGTCTATAGTCTGGACTATAGAATAGTCTAGTCTGGACTATGGAATTGTCTATAGTCTGAACTATAGAGCAGTCTATATTCTAGACTATAGAGTAGTCTATAGTCTGAACTATAGAGTAGTCTATAGTCTGAACTATAGAGTAGTCTATAGTCTGGACTATAGAGTAGTCTATAGTCTGGACTATAGAGTAGTCTATAGTCTGGACTATAGAGTAGTCTATAGTCTGAACTATAGAGTAGTCTGTACTACTACTACTACTACACTATAGAGTAGTCTGTAGTCTGGACTATTAAGTAGTCTATAGTCTGAACTATATAGTAGTCTGTTGTTTGGATTATAGAATAGTCTATAGTCTGTACTATAGAATAGCCTATTGTTTGGACTATAGAATAGTCTATAGTCTGGACTATAAAATTGTCTATAGTCTGGACTATAGAATAGTCTAGTCTGGACTATAGAATAGTCTAGTCTGGACTATAGATTAGTCTCTAGTCTGAACTGTAGAGTAGTCTATAGTCTGGACTATAGAGTAGTCTATAATCTGGACTATAGAGTAGTCTATAGTCTGGACTATAGAGTAATCTATAGTCTGGACTATAGAGTAATCTATAGTCTGGACTATAGAGTAGTATATAGTCTGGACTACAGAGTAGTCTATAGTCTGGACTATAGAGTATTCTGTAGTTTTGACAATAGAGATGTTTATAGTCTGGACTATAGAGTAGTCTATAGTCTGAACTATAGAGTAGTCTATAGTCTGAACTATAGAGTAATCTATAGTCTGGACTATAGAGTAGTCTATAATCAGGATTATAGTTTAGTTTAATCGGGAGACAATGAAAAACTTACCAAAATCCCCAATAGTGGCAACGCAAACATGGGCATTAGTGAAGTAACATATAGGGGAATACATTCTGTTATCCAGTAAAGACAGCAAATCATTATCAAATACATGCAACGGAATTCCTAGAAAGATATGTAAGCAATGAAAAGATTTAGATAATAAAACTATTGCTAAAGATCAGATTCTAAGAACTAGAAGAAAAAATATGTTAATGTTGATATAAAATCGAAGATCTTAAGAAAATGCTTTCAAAATAAATGAATACTTACAGCTCCTTCATTTAACAGGGGAACGGGTATTAAAATTATGGGCACTATTATGCTAAACACACCCTTCCAATGGTAACCACAAAATTTGCCAAATGTAGGCTTTTCTTCCTCAGTATCACTGTAAAAAACAAATTAAAACAGATTTATAATTATTTTATAAAGAAATTTATAAAAAAAACTCACGCCATTTTTTATTTAAGAAATCTTTAAAACAATTATTTGTTTAAAAAAATCTATTCAAAATAGTTCTAAAACTTTTTTTTGATAATCAAATCAAAATTTTGTTTACCTTTATTAACTGGAAACGCAAAGCTAATTTGTTAGTTTTTTTCTTTAATTATTTATTATTATTAATTATTGTCTATTTAGTATAAACAAGTGTTTTTATTAATTATTTATTTTAATATTTATTTGCAGATTTCTTTAAACATTTTTCTGGTTTAATATTCAAAACAAAAATGCGAAAAATTACCTAAAGATATTTAGTTATTCCATTTATATTGGGTCTGTGAGAGTGCGAAAGCGGAGGGAAGTTTGTTTCCTCCAATGTGGAACATGCATCCCTATAGTGAAAGTTTGAGTAAAAGTCGTGAAGATTTAGTAACAGCCTCAAAATTAGCCTCACAAATCGCTTTAGCATCGTATAAACATCAGAGACATGGCAGCAGTCCAAATTTGTATCAGGATCAAACGGATAATATACGAAGGAGGTAAGTTTTTTATATACATATTTTTGAACAAAATTCTAAATTAGGTCGGATTTGCAAGATTTGCAGTGATTATATTTGTGATGAAATCCTAATATTTTCGACTGAAACCTTCGAATCTGAAACAGACTACTTTTATATTCCAAAAATCTAAATTAGTTTATGTATTCTCTAGATTACATCAGGAGAATTGTGATACTATTTTTTTAACTATTAAATATTTTTCATATGACTCATGACTGGCGTAATTTTTGATAACCGAGACAGATATTTCTTTAAAAAAAATTAATTGTTTTTGATTCTTCTGATAGTGGTCTTTCTTATCATTTAGTACTCATTGTATTTTAAAGTAATTTGCAAGTTGATTTAAAAAAAAATTCCACTAAAACTTACAAAAGTTTCAAATATAAAGAAACAAATATTCTGGCAGATGTTATTTTGAGTTATAGGCCAGATTACAGCCTAGAATCTCGACTAGGACGATAGAACCATAGAATGTCTGGACTATAGAATAATCAATAGTCCGGACTATAGAATAGTCTATAGTCTGGACTATAGAATAGTCTGTAGTTTGGACTAAAGAATAGTCTGTAGTATGGACTATAGAATTGTCTATAGTATGGACTATAGAATAATCTACAGTCTGGACTATCGAATAGTGTATAGTCTGTACTATATAATAGGCTATAGTCTAGACTATAGAATAGTCTATAGCCTGGTCTATAGAATAGTCTATAGTATGGACTACAGAATAGTCTTTAGTATGGACTATAGAATAGTCTATAGTGTGGACTATAGAATAATCTATAGTCTGGAATATAGAATAGTCTATAGTCTGGAATATAGAATAGTCTATAGTCTGGACTATAGAAAAGTCTAAGTGTCTGGACTATAGAATAGTCTAAGATTCTGGACTATAGAATAGTCTATAGTCTGGACTATAGAATAGTCTATAGTCTAGGAATTTCGAATAGTCTATAGTCTGGACTATAGAATAGTCTATAGTCTGGACTATAGAATAGTCTATAGTCTGGAATATAGAATAGTCTATAGTCTGGAATATAGAATAGTCTATAGTCTAGAATATAGAATAGTCTATAGTCTGGACTATAGAATAGTCTATAGTCTGGACTATAGAATAGTCTTTAGTCTGGACTATAGAATAGTCTATAGTCTGGACTATAGAATAGTCTATAGTCTGGACTATAGAATAGTCTATAGTCTGGACTATAGAATAGTCTATAGTCTGGACTATAGAATAGTCTATAGTCTGGACTATAGAATAGTCTATAGTCTGGACTGGACTATAGAATAGTCTATAGTCTGGACTATAGAATAGTCTATAGTCTGGACTATAGAATAGTCTATAGTCTGGACTATAGAATAGTCTATAGTCTGGACTATAGAATAACCTATAGTCTGGAATATAGAATAGTCAGGACTATAGAATAGTCTATACTAATAGTCTGGACTATAAAATAGTTTGTAGTCTGGACTATAGAATAGTCTATAGTCTGGACTAACGAATAGTCTATAGTCTGGACTATCGAATAGTATATAGTCTGGACTATCGAATAGTCTATAGACTGGAATATAGAATAGTCTATAGTCTGGAATATAGAATAGTCTATAGTCTGGAATATAGAATTGTCTATAGTCTGGACTATAGGATAGTCTATAGTCTGGACTATAGAATAGTCTATAGTCTGGACTATAGAATAGTCTATAGTCTGGACTATAGAATAGTCTATAGTCTGGACTATAGAATAGTCTATAGTCTGGACTGGACTATAGAATAGTCCTATAGTAGTCTGGACTATAGAATAGTCTATAGTCTGGAATATAGAATAGTCTATAGTCTGGAATATAGAATCAACTATAGAATTGTCTTTAGTCTCGACTATAAATAGTCTATAGTTTCGACTATAGAATAGTCTAAAGTCTCTTCTATAGAAGAGTCTATAGTCTGGACTATAGAATAGTCTATAGTCTGGACTATAGAATAGTCTATAGTATGAACTATAGAATAGTCTACAGTCTGGACTATAGAATAGTCTATAGTCAGGACTATAGAATAATCTATAGTTTGGACTATAGAATAGTCTCGACTGTATATTTTTCTACAGAATGTTGTATAATGGACTATATAATTATTGTCTCGATTATAAAAAAAACAATACACTTAAAAGTAGGCAGCATTGTTTAACTAATTTTTTTATTATTAACAATAACTGTAGAAGTTCACATGTCTGTTTTAGAATAATATTATTCCATGTGATCGAAACTCATAAATTTGAATACAAATGAATACAAATGAATAAATTTAAAATCAAAGTACAAACTCTCATTAACATACAGAGATTATTATAAAAAATATATAAAAAATCATGTGCAAGCAATAAAACTTTTAAACCCCTTCAAACTAAAGAAACAAATTTGCAATTATTTATATTTTATTGGTTCCTATTTCCCAGTTCTTAGCCATACTTCCCTAAAGCAAACATTTGCCTCAAATGTTTTTTTCTTGATTTTTGTTTTTGGTAATTTCCCTTTTTATTTACTCTCAATTAAATTTGTTTTCAATTATATGTTTGTTAAGCTTCCTTCAGTCCCTCTCTGTTAACACTCTTGGCCTTTATACAATTTTGTTTAGTTGAAACAAACAAGTCAAACTTGTGCGACAGTTGCCATCTAAAAATAACAATCAATAATTAGTAGTTGAAATTGTTTTTTTTTTTTTTCGATTCCCATAACACCTACCTACCACCTTAGTAGTGAATAGTAGCAATAGTTGTACTACACACTTCATTAGCTCTTTATTTCTCATACTATTCACTCACTTATTCACCTACTCACTCTTCAACTAACTCACCTATACATTCACTCACTTCATTCGCTATATTTGGTAGTAGTGTTCGTTTTTCGCATGGCCAAAACAGCTTTTTGTTTTTGTCTTTATTGGTGGCATTAAAACGTAAAAGTACGAAACAATAACAACAAAAACGTAAAAATTTATAAATAACAAAAGGTTGAAAGTATTCATGTCTCGAAAAAAAACTCTCGATTTCTCAATACGTTGTTGACGTTCAGATTTCAGTAGTGGTAATATGATGCTCTCGTTGACAGGGTTGGTAATAGTATGCAAAAGTGATAAAAATTGGGGAAAATGTTTCAGAGGCTTGAGTATTCGGCAGTCTAGTCGGTATAGTCTTGAAGATAGATAGATAGATAAATAGATAGATAGATAGATAGATAGATAGATAGATAGATAGATAGATAGATAGATAGATAGATAGATAGATATATAGATAGATAGATAGATAGATAGATAGATAGATAGATAGATAGATAGATAGATAGATAGATAGATAGATAGATAGATAGATAGATAGATAGATAGATAGATAGATAGATAGATAGATAGATAGATAGATAGATAGATAGATAGATAGACCGATAGATAGATTGATAGATAGATAGATAGATAGATAGATAGATAGATAGATAGATAGATAGATAGATAGATAGATAGATAGATAGATAGATAGATAGATAGATAGATAGATAGATAGATAGATAGATAGATAGATAGATAGATAGATAGATAGATAGATAGATAGATAGATAGATAGATAGATAGATAGATAGATAGATAGATAGATAGATAGATAGATAGATATATAGACAGATAGATAGATAGATAGATAGATAGATAGATAGATAGATAGATAGATAGATAGATAGATAGATAGATAGATATAGACAGATAGATATATAGACAGATAGATAGATAGATAGATAGATAGATAGATAGATAGATAGATAGATAGATAGATAGATAGATAGATAGATAGATAGATAAATACATAGATAAATAGAAAAAGTTCCTCCTCGCTTCAGTTAGTCGTAGATTTTAAAATTATTTGTAAATTTTGCCCTTTTTGAATACAGGGTAACCCTTAAAACGCGTACTAAAACCACGTATGGAGCAAAACTATACCCAAACTTAAACATGCAAACCACAAAATACAAACGCCGACTCTGGCTTCAGACATCCAGTACAATGTACTCTCATCTCAAATCATAATTTTATAGTTGTTGCTATATTATTGTTAAACTTATATGTGTGTTTGTGAAATTTTTATTGGGGAGTCTTAGTAGTAGACCTCCAATTTAACAAATGGGGAGAAACATAATTTAGTAGACGTGCAAATTCTCAGCTGATCGGTAACGGTGGTACGGTGTGAATACAAATAACGATCTTTTTTTACAACAAAAACAAAACAAAATAAATGATCGTATTAAGTTATTTCGTGGTTGGTGTGTTTTTGTTTTTCTTAACGACAAAAATTGATATTAAATAAAAAAATAAAAAAACAATAACAACAAATTCATTATCATTTTTTAATAATTATAGAAAAAAAAACGAGTACAAACAAATATAAGAAAAAAGTTGTTGTTGTTATTTTTTTCTGTGTTTTTGCTAATAATTTTGCATTGTTAACTTTGTTTTGAAGTGTGTGTTTTTTTCTACTTTTTTCTATTTCTGTTGTTGTACAACATCGTGTATTGTTTTTTAAACAAAAAAAAAAAAAAGTGAAACAAAAAGAAATTGTTGTTATCAAAAAGTAAAGAAAGAAAAAAACGTTATTTTTTCCTTAAAAAGAAATTCGCCAAATTATTAAAACAAAAAGTGATAAGAAAAAATATACTTAAATGTATCTTAAATCATAATTATATATAAAATGTTTTAAACAGAAACAAAATTATTATGAAATAAAAAAATGCGTGATTTAAAAATAATAAAAATTTTATAAAAAACTACTTATTATCACATTTTTACTTAAAAAGCTTAAAACAGCAAAGAAAAAAATAATTGTCGTTATTATTTATAACATGACGTTGTTATTATAGCTGTTATTGTTGTTACTCTTATGTGATTATTTTATGGTGAATGAAGTTTTATTGTTGTTATTTTCTAGTGAATGTTAAACAAAACAAAAAATCTCCCACAGCAAAACAACACAAACACATTCTACCTCACCTATTCACTCGCACTTTATTTACCTTGACGTCATTTTTGTTTTTGTTATATTTCTTCTTCTTACACCTCCTCTTTTTCTTCGTCTACCCAACTTCTCTTTAAAAAAACATTATTAAAAACAACAACATGCATTAATATGTTTATTAATATGGATTATGTAGTAGTTGGTTACTACCGAATATTATGGATTATTTTTAGTAAAAAAACTGTGTTATGAAGTTTAAGCCAAGTTTTGTTGTTGTTGTTTTTGTTTTTATTATTGCCTGACTATAAACAAAACTTGTCTGTGCGTACAGATATAAACAAACAAACAAGATCGTGCAAGCACATCGTTTTAATAAACACTATAAACAACAGTATCTGGATGTGAGTTGCCAGATTTTCTTGGAAATACTTCATCTATATAGGACACATTGAAAAGTGGGGATTCAATGATTTCCAGGATGGACCTTTTTGGATATTTGTTGCAGTTCCCTAGGATAATAAACATGATCGTACAAGCACATCGTTTCAAAAAACACTATAAACAACAGTATCTGGATGTGAGTTGCCAGATTTTCTTGGGAATACTTCTGCTATATAGGATACATTGAAAAGTGGGGATTCAATGATTTTCTGGATGGGCCTTTTTGGTTATTGGATAATAAACATGATCGTGCAAGCACATCATTTCAATAAACACTATAAACAACAGGATCTGGATATGAGTTGCCAGATTTTCTTGGGAATACTTCAGCTATATAGGACACAATTATTATGGGGAAATTCTGAGGATATCTGCTCAGACATGATAATTAAAGCTTTCCAAATATAGGGCTCTTAGGAGAATGTATACAAGTTTAGATCCAAAGAAATGTTCTTAGGCAGTTGTTGGGCATGTTGTGCTATTCTTTACATAGAAAATATGGGTGGGAAAACTTTTATATATTGCTCTGTGATGGTATTACCGTTTGATGTTCAGAAACTCAGTTTCCTCGAAGTTTTTCTAAAGAATTCAATATCTGGTGTAATATCATCGCTCTCAAGATCTAATTCGACAAACGCCTAGAAATTTTAAATAAAGTTTTCCATAGATTCACTAGCCTCTAGTTGTGCCCGAAACGATAATTTACCGGTCGACGTTTCTATATTCAGATACCGTTATGTCTTTTGCAAAGAATAACTTCCAATTATAGCAGAAATAACAAGTTCTATGAACAAAAGTAGTTCGTAATGAAATCCTAAAGAGGTTAGCAATAAGAGTGATTCGATGTTGATATGTATTATTGACAATTGGAACTGTAACTGATATATCATTAGGTTATCAGATTTATACGGAAATTCCTCTACCTTTTTACTCATTTCAGTTGTTTCGATTCTATAGCAGATAAGGTGGATCGGTAACAAACTTTGGCTGAATCTTATACACAATTCTAAGCAATTATGTCCAATAAATTATATTTCTACAAGGAGTTGTATTAAGAGCCTTCTTTGGCTCTCAATACAACGTAAAAAGTTTCTCTTTTGAAAATGTCAAATAACTTTAAATGGTCGCATAGATATGTCAAAATTTTAAGCGAATTATTGGCGCTTCTGATGACTTTCAAACCTGTACATACCTATTCTTTCAGATAACCTCACAAAAATTTATCTGCAGGAATAGGGTCGCCATTTTGAGGGCCTTATTTGCGTTAACTCCGCAAAAGATAGCTATGATCATAAATCGTCAAATTTTATGGGAATGCTTGGGGCTTCTGGTGACTTTCAAAACTATTCTTAAATGTATTTGCAGGAATAGAGACGCCATTTTTGAGCGAATGCTTAGCGCTTCTGGTGACTTTCAAACCTGTACAAACTTATTCTTTCAGATAACCTCACAAGAATAGAGTCTCCATTTTGATGGCCAATTAATGTCAACTCCGTAAAATATAACTATGACCACGAATCATTCTTGTAGGATGTCTTCTGCTGCAAACACTTATCGCCTACGACCAAGCTTTAATTCGAACCTAAAACATTGGCCTGTAGCGCATTGACTTCTTTTTGAAATACATGTGGTCCCGATCTCTTCTTGAGATCGATAAGTGATTAACTTCTAAGATTTATTAAGGTAAAAACTACAGCATTTATAGCTGGGCCAACTAATTTAGTTTGAAAGCTATAAGTTTTAATCTAATGAATGTAGTGCAAGAACATATTTCGATCCTTTTTTTGCGATCTAAAAGGGATATACTCTAGTATTAAAAAAATGCGAGGAATTGCTGACTGCTCGATCTGGTTTAATTCGGATAAGTTTCAATCTCATGAAAACATATGAGTGCTAATGATCATCTTCATAAGATTTGCTTTTATAATTTAGAAAATGGTTACAATTCATTTGCGATCATTAGCTTGAGATCTGAAATAGATCTACTTCTATGATTCATAAAAAGCGTGAAATGCTGATTGATTGCTGCTCTTTCTAGTTTAACTGGCATAACTTTCAATTCTGTGAAAGCATAAAAGCAAGATCATTTGCGATCATCTATTTTAGAGATCTAAAATAGATGATCTTCTAGATTTCAAAATGTGCATGAAATTGTTGATTAATTTCAGTTTTAGCTCTAGTTTAACACGCATAAGTTTCAATCTCATGAAAGTATTTCAATGCAAGATCATTTGCGATCATCTTCTAGAGATCTGAAATAGATGATCTTCATCTAGATTTAAAAAAAGTATATGAATTGATTGATTTCAGCTCTAGCTAGTTTAATTTGCATAAGTTTCAATTCTATGAAAGCATATCAGTGCAAGATCATTTGCGATCATCTTTTTAGAGTTATGAAATAGATCTATACTTATGATTCAGAAATCACATGAAATTGCTGATTGATTTCAACTCTAGCTAGTTTAACTCGCATAAGTTTTAATCTCATGGAAGCATATCAATGCAAAAGATCATCTTCGATCATTTTATTGAGTTCTAAGACGGATATACTTCTAGCATTCAAAAAGTGTCTGAAATTACAGCATTGCTTACTATTCTATCAAGTTTAGCAACAATAAGTTTCAATCTCACGGAAGCATATCAATGATCATTTTATTGAGATCATGGAAGCGTATCAATACAAATGATCATCTTCGATCATTTTATTGAAATCTTGAAAGGATCTACCACTTGATTTAAAAAGTAAGTGAAATTTCAGCATGAATTAGTAATCTATCTAGTTTAGCTAAACCTAAGTAGTTTCAAACTTATGAATGCATATCAGTACAAGATCATCTTCTTGAGATTAGCTTCTAGAAAGTTCTTAAAGAAATCTAGTTTTAAGATTCAAAATAGTGGAAGAAATTGCAACACTAGTTTCTAATCTATCAAATTTAGCTTTACATCTTTTTGTATCGGAGTTTATATGTTCCAAAGATCTACTAGTCTTCTGAAAACATTCCATCACATATTCCTCTTCGATCATCGTTATCTCTAAACATTTACTAGGAACTTGCATATAAAGGAGTACAATTGCAGCACGATCTATCAAAGAAGAGACAAAGACTGATCTACGGAAACATTGTAGCATATTCCTCTATGATCTTCTGTAGCTCTATATCCAAGGTTAGATCGGTTTCATGTAAAAATCTTACTTTTTGGGAAATCTAAAGTGATCCCTCAAGTATTATCTTTATTGTTTTAAATTTAAAAGAAAACACACTGATCTTTCCCATGTCGTATTTCTTTGTAGATGGCAACTCTTTTTACGCAAGATCGGATTAAAATCTTATTCATTGGGAAATCAAATCTGATCCTTCAAGTATTCCCTTCAAAGTTTTCTATCTACAGGAATTATCAAAACATTTACTAGGAACTTGCATATGAAGGAGTACAATTGCAGCTCGATCTATCAAAGAAGAGACAAAGACTGATCTACGGAAACATTGTAGCATATTCCTCTATGATCTTCGGTGGCTTTTTATCCAAGGTTAGATCGGTTTCATGTAAAAATCTTACTTTTTGGGAAATCTAAAGTGATCCTTCAAGCATTATTTACATTATTTTAAATTTAAAAGAAAACACACTGATCTTTCCCATGTCGTATTTCTTTGAAGATGGCAACTCTTTTTAGGCAAGATCGGATTAAAATCTTATTCATTGGGAAATCAAATCTGATCCATCAAGTATTCTCTTCAATGTAGGGTTCTATAGTTGAAACGAAAAGTCGACTTTTTTCATTAAGTTAAAAGTCGACTTTTCGACTTTTTGCATTTTATGAAAAGTCGATTTTTCGACTTTTTTCATTTAAATAAAAGTCGACTTTTAGACATTTCGACTATAAGTATTTTATAAATAGTCGACTTTTCGACTTTTTCCGACTTTTCGACTTTTCGACTTTTTTCGACTTTTTTCGACTTTTTCCGACTTTTTTCGACTTTTCGACTTTTTGACTATTTTCGACTTCTTTCTACTTTTTTCCGACTATTTTTTGACTTTTTTCGAGTTTTTCCGACTATTTTAGAGTTTTTGACTTTTTTTCCACTTTTTTAAAATTTTTGACTATTTTTGACTTGTTTCTACAATTTTTGATTTTTCGACTTTTTCCGACTTTTCGACTTTTTCCGACTTTTTTCGACTTTTTTCGACTTTTATTCACAAAGTCGACTTTTCGACTTTTTTCACAGACGATAGTCGAGTTATCGACTTTTTTGGAACAAAATAGTCGACTTCGACTTTTTGACTTTTTGCGACAAAAAGTCGATTGTTCAATTATTCGAAAGTCGATTTATAGAACCCTACTTCAATGTTTTGAAATGAAAAGAAAACAAACTAATTATTCCCATGTCTTATTTTTTTTAAAGGTGGCAACTCGTTTTACGCAACTATCGGTTTAATTTCATATATTTTTCTTATTTTAGCGTGATTTGTTCTTGTCAGCATATTTTTCTACTAACTGTCTGTTTTTGTCATTGTTTTTGTAAGCGTTTTTTTTTTTCTGAAGGTAGTAAGTATGTTTATTTGTAAAGTGTGTAAAGGTAGTAAAGATGTTAGTTGTATAGTTTTCTTTTCATTATCATTTCTTCTCTTCCCCTTTCGAACCATATTCCAACCACATTCACATTTAGCTGCTTGTCACAATGTATAACTTTTGCTATTTTGCGGTTTGTTTAAATGACTTTTAAGCAAATTTTCGTAAAAAACCGCAACAATATTATGCTTTTGTTGTCGATTTATCACAGATATAACAATAATAAATACATACGTTAAAACCACCCTCATACCAACACCCTAGGGCAGAGAGGAGGGTGATTATTGTACTATAAATCTTGCAAAAATATAAATAAATTTTGTTTATGGAAAGTACTATGCTATGTCTTTGATGTGAGTTATACTTAGCTTTTTAATATATTTTATCTTAAAACTAACAGTTGTTGTTGTTTTTAATAAAATAAAATCCATTCATCTATTTTCTCTCTTTATTAATAAACACAAATGTATCAAGACATGTTTTTATGTTAATACCTGTTATTATTTCTATACAAATGACGATCGTTAGTTTTGAAAAGTTGTATTTTCATTTTTAAAGTTCAGCTAATGCTAATTGTGGTCATGATTTTGCTTTATATTTAATGATGAGATAGTATAGCAACTTATTTTTTAGTTTTATTTAAATATTAGAATTTTAGATAAGAAATTTTAGTAAATATTTTTTTAAAATTAACTTTTAACTGACACATGCCATGTTTGTTCTTGAATTTGTTATCAAAAGAATATTTTCGCTTACTCTTTCAATTAACAAAAAAAAAAAAGCACAAAAGATGATGGGGTTTGCAAAACCTAGTTCTCTATAAAAACAATGGTTATGGGATTAATATGTTTCTCTGAAAAACTCTTTCCCAGATTGTCCAATAAGTCACCCATTCTTTAGTTTTATTTCAGTTTTACATCAGTTCTACTTAGTTTAGTCATAGTTCAAACCTAGTTCAGTTTTACATCAGTTCTAGTTCAGTTCTAGTGCAGTTCTAGTTCAGTTCTAGTTCAGTTCTAGTTCAGTTCTTGTTCAGTTCTAGTTCAGTTCCAGTTCAGTTCTAGTTTAGTTCTAATTCAGTTCTATTTCAGTTTTACATCAGTTCTAGTTCCGTTCTAGTTCAGTTCTAGTTCAATTCTAGTTCAGTTCTAGTTTAGTTCAGTTCTAGTTCAGTTTTAGTTCAGTTCTAGTTCAGTTCTAGTTCAGTTCTAGTTCAGTTCTAGTTCAGTTCTAGTTCAGTTCTAGTTCAGTTCTAGTTCTAGTTCTAGTTCAGTTCTAGTTCAGTTCTAGTTGAGTTCTAGTTCAGTTCTAGTTCAGTTCTAGTTTAGTTCTAGTTCATTTCTAGTTCAGTTCTAGTTCAGTTCTAGTTCAGTTCTAGTTCAGTTCTAGTTCAGTTCTAGTTCAGTTCTAGTTCAGTTCTAGTTCAGTTCTAGTTCAGTTCTAGTTCAGTTCTAGTTCAGTTCTAGTTCAGTTCTAGTTCAGTTCTAGTTCAGTTCTAGTTCAGTTCTAGTTCAGTTCTAGTTCAGTTCTAGTTCAGTTCTAGTTCAGTTCTAGTTCAGTTCTAGTTCAGTTCTAGTTCAGTTCTAGTTCAGTTCTAGTTCAGTTCTAGTTCAGTTCTAGTTCAGTTCTAGTTCAGTTCTAGTTCAGTTCTAGTTCAGTTCTAGTTCAGTTCTAGTTCAGTTCTAGTTCAGTTCTAGTTCAGTTCTAGTTCAGTTCTAGTTCAGTTCTAGTTCAGTTCTAGTTCAGATCAGTTCTGGTTCAGTTCTAGTTCAGTTCTAGTTCAGTTCTAGTTCAGTTCTAGTTCAGTTCTAGTTCAGTTCTAGTTCAGTTCTAGTTCAGTTCTAGTTCAGTTCTAGTTCAGTTTTAGTTCAGTTCTAGTTCAGTTCTAGTTCAGTTCTAGTTCAGTTCTAGTTCAGTTCTAGTTCAGTTCTAGTTCAGTTCTAGTTCAGTTCTAGTTCAGTTCTAGTTCAGTTCTAGTTCAGTTCTAGTTCAGTTCTAGTTCAGTTCTAGTTCAGTTCTAGTTCAGTTCTAGTTCAGTTCTAGTTCAATTCATGCCAAGTAAACCACTTGGCATGATCACATCAAGTGGTTAACGTCATTAATCATATCATATGTCACCTGTGCCTAATAGAAGTATATCGATTTATATATGGAGAGAAGGATTATGTGGTAATTTTTGTAATTCCCATTAGACCTTATATGGTTAGATAATTTTCTTGGTGATATAATTCTTTTGCTATATAATATATACTTTATAAAAAAAAAACAAATAAAACAACGTATTTAAGCACAAGTGCAATAACAGACGTAAGATCGCTGGGTCCTAACACCGTCTAAATTTACAATTTTAGAATATAAAAATTTTACAAACTGTTGTAATTATATATTATATTATTTTTAAATAGTGCAAACATTTTTAAAATTTTATAGAATCTACACAACAAATTCCATAAAAAATATGAATAAATATTAAAACAAAAGTGCTAAAAACAAACTAATCTCTGAAACCAAGAAAAAAAAAATACCGCAATAAAAAAAATTCTAAGAATTTAAAGAATTTCAAAACAACAACAAAAAAACTAATTTATTTAAACAAAAATTAAAAATTATCAAAGAAAAAAAATTAACAACTACGTAAATGTACGCTTTCGATCACCTGCTCTATTAACAACTTTAACATTAACGTCATACCACAGTTAAAGACGTACCTTTTTTGGGGAGAAAAAATAAGAAGAAGAATTTCAACGACTTTTTTTTTTGCTGAGTCTATGCAACACACTACACTTATACACAACAAGTGTATATGTTTATTTTATTTACAACCAATACATAAGCAATTAAAAACTACCAATATTTCAACACAAACTAGTTGAGACTTCTTCCAGCGTAATATGGTGTTTTATATATCGATTTTTGGTAGAAATATAGAGCCGCCGGATAAAATTTTAAATACAGAAAAAAGGTAAAATATTAAATTATAAATTTGGGAGAATATTGATTAATTTTATTTAATTTTTTATATATACATTGAAGAAAAATCTAGAAAATTTGGGATTGTTTACATGGTGTAAAGTATGTTTTTTAAAAAATCTTATGTTTATTAGAAAATTATATAAATTTCAGAAAAAATCTTGAAAATATTGGGTTTTTGGTATTCTTTACATTGTTGACCTGGTGTAAAGAATGTAAATTACTCTTGTTTTCTACACAATTTTGAAACTTTTTTAGAAAATTATATAAATTTCCTAAAAAAATCTTGAAAATATTGGATTTTTGGTATTTTTTTACATTGTTGACATGGTGTAAAGAATGTAAAATACTTTTGTTTTATACCCAATTTTTATGCTTTATTAGAAAATTATATAAATTTCCAAAAAAATATTGAAAATATTGGGTTTCTTGTATTCTTTACATTGTTGACATGGTGTAAAGAATGTAGATTACTGTTGTTATATAAAAAATTTTTAAGCTTTCTTGAAAATTATAAAAATTTTAGAAAAATCTTCAAAATATAAATTTTTTTGCATTCTTTACATTGTGGACATGGTGTAAAGAATGTAAAATACCTTTGTTTTATACACAATTTTTAAGCTTTCTTAGAAAATTATATAAATTTCCTAAAAAATCTTGAAAATATTGGGTTTTCTGTATTCTTTACATTGTTGACCTGGTGTAAAGAATGTAAATTACTCTTGTTTTATACACAATTTTTAAGCTTTCTTAGAAAATTATATAAATTTCCGAAAAATCTTGAAAATATTGAGTTTTTGTTATTCTTTACATTGTTTTATAAAAAATCTTATGTTTTTTAGAAAATTATATAAATTTCAGAAAAAATCTTGAAAATATTGGGGTTTTGGTATTCTTTACTTTGTTGACCTGGTGTAAAGAATGTAAATTACTTTTGTTTTATAAACTATTTTTAAGCTTTCTTTGAAAATTATAGAAATTTGTGAAAAAATCTTCAAAATATAACATTTTTTACATTCTTTACATTGTTGACATGGTGTAAAGAATGTAAATTACTCTTGTTTTATAAAAATTCTTATGTTTTTTAGAAAATTATATAAATTTCCGAAAAAATCTTGAAAATATTGGGTTTTTTGTATTCTTTACATTGTTGACATGGTGTAAAGAATGTAAAATACTTTTATTTTGTTCACAATTTTTAAGCTTTCTTAGAAAATTATATAAATTTCCTAAAAAATCTTGAAAATATTGGGTTTTCTTTATTCTTTACATTGTTGACCTGGTGTAAAGAATGTAAATTACTCTTGTTTTATACACAAATTTTAAGCTTTCTTAGAAAATTATAAAAATTTTGGGAAAAATCTTGGAAATATTGAGTTTTTGTTATTCTATACATTGTTGACATGGTGTAAAGAATGTAAATTACTCTTGTTTTATACACAATTTTTAAGCTTTCTTAGGAAATTATATAAATTTCCGAAAAAATCTTGAAAATATTGGGTTTTTGGTATTTTTTACATTGTTGACATGGTGTAAAGAATGTAAAATACTTTTGTTTTGTTCATAATTTTTAAGCTTTCTTAGAAAATATGAAAATTTCAGACAAAATCTGTAAAATATCGAGTTTTTTGTATTCTTTACATTGTTGACATGGTGTAAAGAATGTAAATTAATTTAGTTTTATACACAATTTATAAGCTTTCTTAGAAAATATGAAAATTTCAGACAAAATCTGTAAAATATCGAGTTTTTTGTATTCTTTACATTGTTGACATGGTGTAAACAATGTAAATTACTATTGTTTTATAAAAAATTTTAAGCTTTTTTTGAAAATGATAGAAATTTTAGAAAAATATATAATTTTTTGCATTCTTTACATTGTTGACATGGTGTAAAGAATGTAAATTACTTTTGTTTTATACAAAATTTGTATGTTTTTATTGAAAACTTAATGAATTTTATTAAACAATTATGAAAATTCGGATTTTTTATACTGTTTACATTGTTGACATTATGTAAACAATTAATTTTACTTTAAACTCTTAATATATTTTAGAAATTTTGGACGTGGAAACAAAAATTATTGATTTTACTAATTGTTTACATTGTTGACATTGTGTAAAGAATGTAATTTACTCTTAAATTACAGTTTTTTTAAACAATTTTATTACAAATTTTCGAGAAACTATCAATATATTTGAATTTATACTTTATTTACACTGTTGACATGGTGTAAACAATTCGTTTTTTACACAATTGTTCATTTCTTTCTATAAATTTAATTCGAGAAACATTGATTATTGCTTTTTCTCTTATATTACATTTACATTTTACATTGTTGACATTATGTAAACAATGACATTTACTCGACTAAATATTAAATTATACAAAAACATCATAATAAATCGTACAAATTAAGGTTTTTACAATATTTTACATTGTTGACATAGTGTAAACAATTCATTATACACACAATTGTGCATTTCTTTCTATAAATTTACTTCGGGAAACATAAATGATTGATTTTTCTTTAATTTTACGATGTTGACATTATGTAAAGAATGTAATTTACTCGTAAAATACAGTTTTTTAAACAAATTTCATAGAAAATTTCTAGAAACCATAAAAATATTGTAATTTATACTTTGTTTACATTATTGACATGGTGTAAACAATTCGTTTTTTCATAATTTTTGAGATTTTTTAACCAATTTAATTCAGAAAACATTTATTATTGATTTTTCTTTAATTTTACATTGTTGACATTGTGTAAAGAATGTCATTTACTTAAGTAAATATTAAATTTTTACAAAAATATTGAAAGGAATCACTCAAATTAAGTTTTTTATCCTATTTTACATTGTTGACATGGTGTAAACAATTAATTTTTTACACAATAGTTCATTTCTTTCAATAAATTTAATTCAGAAAACATTAATTATTGATTTTTATTTAATTTTACATTGTTGACATTATGTAAACAATGGCATTTACTTAAGTAAATATTAAATTTTTACAAAAATATCCAAAAAATCATTTAAATTAAGCTTTTTACCCTATTTTACATTGTTGACATGGTGTAAACAATTAATTTTTTACAAAATTGTCCATTTCTTTTTACAAATCTTATTCAGAAAACATAAACAATTGATTTTTCTTTAATTTTACATTGTTGACGTTATGTAAAGAATGACATTACTGCAGTAAATGAAATGAATACAAATTTCAGAAAAAGATGTATAAAATGAGATTTGTTGCTATATTTTACATTGTTGACATGTTGTAAACAATTTATTTTTTACACAATTGTTCATTTCTTTCTATAAATTTAACTCGGGAAACATAAATGATTGATTTTTCTTTAATTTTACATTGTTGACATTATGTAAAGAATGTCATTTGCTTAAGTAAATATTAAAGTTTTACAAAAATATCCAAAAAAATCATTTAAATTAAGCTTTTTACCCTATTTCACATTGTTGACATGGTGTAAACAATTCATTTTTTACCCATTTGATGATATTTTTTAACAAATCTTATACAGAAAACATAAGTAAATGATTTTTCTTTAATTTTACATTGTTGACATTGTGTAAAGAATGTAATTTACTGAAGTAATTTATGTATTTTAAGAATTTTTTATTGACTTTATGTAAACAATATATATTTGTTTAGGAATATGTAAAAAGATGCAAAATTGTTATACTCCCCTTTCTCGTGCCATAATTTCCTCTTCCCTGAACGTTAGAATTTATTGTATTTGTGAAAACAAAACTGAAAACATTGTTATTTAAAACATTTCGTACCAGTCGTTTTATGGTACACGGATTTTTAGATTTGGCCAAACACAGCACCGAAGAACGAAATACGAAAATGTAGAAGCGTATAAAGAACAATGGAAAAAATACCCACAAATGGTTATCGACACTAAAAATATTACGAACATTTTTGTTTTTATTTAATATTTTTAATTTTTTCTTCTTCACCTATTTTGCATACGTTAAATTTTTGCTTAAAAATGCTAATAATAATAATCAAATTTAACTAATTTTAATAACAATAAAGACAAATAAAACAAAATTTATATGTAGATGTAAAATAAAAACATACATACATTCCTGACACAAATTAATTAACGTCTGGTTGAGGGAAAAAAAAAAGTAAAAAATTAAATACCAAAAAAGGTTAGTTAAAGCAATTAACATGTTAAACAAATATTACGGTTAAATTAAAACGTCATAAAGAGCAAGCAAAAACAAGATTAGAAGTAAAGAGCGTAAAGAGAAGAAGAGCAAAAAAAAGATCTTTAAATATAAATATTGATGTTAATGAAGTGAAATAACTTTAAGGTAAGAAGTTTTTTAGCACTATCCCATAGGCTCCAAAAGGCTGAAAATATTGTATTTTTATATATTTTACATTATTGACATGATGTAAAGAATGTAAATCACTCTTTTTATAGATAATTGTTAACTTTTCTTTAAAAATTATATAAATTTCTGAAAAAAAAAAACTTGAAAATATTGGGTTTTTGGCATTCTTTACATTGTTGACATGGTGTAAAGAATGTAAATTACTCTTTTTTTATACACAAATTTTAAATTTTCTTTAAATACTATATAAATTTAAGACAAAATCTAGAAAATATTGGTGTTTTGCCATTCTTTACATTGTTGACATCGTGTAAAGAATGTAAAATACTCTTGTTTTATACACAATTTTCAAGCTCTCTTTAAAAATTATATAAATTTACGACAAAATCTTGAAAAAATTGGGTTTTTGGAATACTTTACTTTGTCGACATGATGTAAAGTATGTAAATTACACGTTTTTTTATACAAAACCTTTATGCTTTCTTAGAAAATTATACAAATTTAGGAGAAAATCTCGAAAATGTAAGTTTTTTGTATTCTTTACATTGTTGACATGATGTAAAGAATTTTTATACTTTCTTAGGAAATTATATAAATTTTATACAAAATTTAGGAAATA